GGCCAAATAAGTGAGGGGCTTCTCAGCAGGAGTCCGAAAGGATTTAGGGGGAATATTCACCCAGCAGGGATAGAGGCATATGGCTGGAGGCGCTGGAAGTACAGGGTGTTTTGGGGGTGGAGGGAGGGAGTAGGGGTGCCATGCTAGGAAGACTGAGAGGTGAGAGCATGGTGGGTTCTAGAAATAAATAACAGTTCAGTTTGGAGCGGCTGGTGGGTGAGCGAGGGCGGGAGGAGCCGGCTTCCACACTAAGGTTTGCGGGTCCTCCGAGAACTGGCCTCCGCTAACCAGCCCCAGTTCCACCAAGCCCACTAGCCACACCTGACTGTGGCCTGTGCTCCGGCTCTGCCTTGCGAATCCCTGAGGACTCTTGCAGCCGCATGACTTAGCTCAAGCGACCCTTCCTGGCTTTTTTTTTTTTTTTTAAGATTTATTTATTTATGCTTACAGAACTGGGGTACAGGCCAGAGGTGTGCTGGGTGAGAGGCTTCACCAGAGACAGAATGTGGAGCAGAACAGGCAGATTGACGAAGTACACTGCTGAGGGGAGCAGCGGGCGGGTCAGGAGAGGTGTGCTGCGCCCTGTGGGTCAGCTCCCTGGCCGGGCATCGAACTTGCGCTGCAGTGGCTTCGGAGAGCTTCACAATGCGGTGCTTTAACCTGTCGTGTCACTAGGGAGAGCCACCCTTCCTGACTTTTACCGAGAATCTGCCCTGTGTCAGGTGTGCGACTCCACGAACTGCCCATCTCTGGCTCCACCCCGGGAGAGCTTCGGCTAACGCGAGAGGCGGCAAGAGGAAACCCTGACAATACTGGGAAACGGGCAGCGGCCGCCCCGAGCCGCCCGAGCTGGGGACGCAGTAGGGGCCCGCGGGGCGGGGCTCGGGCGAGCGGGGCGGGGGCGGGCTTGAAGGGGGGAGGGGGGCTGGCGAGGACTCGGAAAGGTGACCCCTGAACTGAGCCTTGAAGGACACGGCGACACTAGCCTTGGGGGGAGGAGTAAGGCAAAGGGGGAGCGGTTCAGAGTCTGGCTGTGTGGTCACAGGTCCTTGAGGTGAGGTGAGGTCCGAACTCTCAGTCCAGGTAAAACAAACACGATAATCCCTCAGGGGCCTGAAACCTCTGAACTCCCGCCCCGCATTGATCTCCACGCCCCCC